ACTCTGAGGGAGCCCCTCCTCTGGCAAATGAGCTTGGAGACATGAAGAGGATAAAGGCACCGGCTCTTCCCGTTCCAGATTTATCTTCAGTCCATGTGGAGTGAGCAGGGGCTGCTGCAAACACTCAAAACCATTTGCTTTTAAACAAACTCCGAGGCAAGGAGGGAAACGTGCTGGTTGCCCTGAAACAACCCTTTTCCCCTGGCGGTCAAATGCTCCTCCCAGCACAGCCAGGATGTGCATCCCACATCCCTCATCCACATCCCACACCCCTCCTGTCGCCCTTTCCAGATCAAGCTGAAGGAGATTTTCGAGACGCCCTCGGAGATCGCGCTCGTCCTGGAGTTGGTGACGGGGGGAGAGCTCTTTGACAGGTACGTCCAGCCCAGGGGCCCCAGGATGGATCTCCCTGGGATGGAGGGGGGAGGATGAGGATGGGGGTGCTGATGGTCCCGTGTGCCCACAGGATTGTGGAGAGGGGGTTCTACAGCGAGCGGGACGCGGCTCACGTGGTCAAGCAGATCCTGGAGGCTGTTTCGGTAACCTGTCCCCCAGGGAAGGGGATTCCCTGGGGGGCTTGGGGGTGTCACTGTGGGGGATGCACCCAAATATCCCCAGGGAGAGGCACCCAGAGCTGCACCCATCCCAAATAACCCCATGGAGAGGTGCTCAGAGTTGCACCCATCCCAAACACCCCTGGGGGAGGCATTTGCTTGCTCACCCTTGGCCTTCCAGGGGCAGTGCTGGAAGATGGATCCACTTTTAGGGGGGATGAAGGGGAGGAGGGGGGAAGGTCAGTGCTGCTCTGCATGCTAGGTCTGCTGGAGAATGGGTTTCTATGGAAACAGGAGGGTTTAAAAATGGGAACTCCCAACTGGAAATGCCCTCCCCAGCCCCCCCCACGCCCTGCCGTGGGGGCTGTTCCCAAAGGGCCAGTTGGTCCTGGGTTTGTGACAGGTCCCCAGTCACTGCTGCCACCTCCCAAATTCTGTCTGAGGTCATTCCCTTCCTTCCCTCATCCCACTTTTCCCCCCTGTGCAGTATTTGCACGAGAACGGGGTGGTGCACCGGGACCTGAAGCCGGAGAACCTGCTCTACGCAGACCTGTCCCCCGACGCACCCCTCAAAATCGGTGGGTCTGGGGCCCCACTGGGGAATTCTGGCACGAGGGGGGGGTTCCTGGTGCCTCTCCCTGATGGCAGCGCCGCTCCCCTGTGTCCCCCCAAGGTGACTTCGGGCTGTCCAAGATCGTGGACGAGCAGGACACCATGAAAACTGTCTGTGGGACGCCGGGGTACTGCGGTGAGCAGGGTGGGGCTGGGCTGGGAGGGAGATTTGGGGGGGCCCTTCCCTGCCTGAGGCCATGCACAGCTCAGTGCAGGGATGGCTGGTGGCCGTGCCAGGCCTGGCAGACCCCTCTGGTGCCCAGGAGGTGTTTCCTGTGCCGTGAGGTCCCCACCGTGCCGGGTGGGGTGTGTTTGTTTGAACCCCCAAACTCTGCTTGCAGCCCCCGAAATCCTCCACGGGTGCCCCTACGGCCCCGAAGTGGACATGTGGAGCGTGGGCGTCATCACCTACATCCTGTGAGTGTCTCTGTGGGGTGGAACTGGGCTGGGAGGGTTTATCCCACCCCATCCCACAGCAGGGGTGCAGCTCCTCTATCTCCCCCCCAACAGGCTCTGCGGCTTCGAGCCCTTCTTCGACCCCCGTGGGGACCAGTACATGTACAGCCGCATCCTCACCTGCGACTACGAGTTCGTGTCCCCGTGGTGGGACGAGGTGTCCCCCAACGCCAAGGACCTGGTGAGCAGGGCAGCCCCGGGGCTGGGGGGCGAGGCTTCGGCTCAGTGCCCGTGAAATAACCAAACCCGGGGCCTTTTCGTCCCTTTTAGGTGAGAAAATTGATCGTTCTGGACCCCCAGAAGAGGCTGACAGTCTACCAGGCTCTGGAGCACCCCTGGGTCACCGGCAAGGCCGCCAAGTTTGCTCACATGGACAGCACGCAGAAGAAGCTGCAGGAATTCAATGCCAGGAGGAAGCTGAAGGTAAAGTGGGGGGCACCCATCACCCTGGGGGGCTGGAGCTGTGCCAGGGGGGTTGGGATGGACGTCTGGAGAAGATCCTTCCCCCAGAGGGTGGTGGGCACTGCCCAGGCTCCCCAGGGCAGTGGGCACGGCCCCAAGGCTGCCAGAGCTCCAGGAGGGATTGGACAACGCTCTGGGGGACAGGGGGGGATTGTTGGGGTGTCCTGGGCAGGGACAGGGGTTGGACTTAGAGGGTCCTTGTGGGTCCCTTCCAACTCAGGGCATTCTGTGACGCTGTGCCCCTGTGCCTTTGCCCCAGGCTGCCATGAAGGCCGTGGTGGCCTCCAGCCGCCTGGGCAACCACGGCCACCACGACTGTTCCCGCGGCGGGCGCAGCCAGGGGGGTCCCCGCCCGCCCCAGGGCACGGGGACCGGCGGCCCCGCAGCCACCGCGGCCGGCGAGGACCTCGGCGTGTTCCAGAGCGACCACCCCCCCGTGCCCCCCGTGCCCCCCGTGCCCCCTGTGCCCGTGCCCGGTGCTGGCTGCCAGAGCTAAGGGGGTCACCTTCGACCACTGACACCCACTGAGCCCTGGGGGCACCGGGGGGGCTGTGAGAGCCCCCAGCCCGCGGTCTGGGCTGTGGGATGTCCTTCCTTCGTGTCCTGTCCCCGTGAGTGGTCCCGGTCGCTGTCCCTGTGTGTTCTGTGCCCACCAGCCCGGGGCACTGGGCAGGGCTGGGATGGGGATGGGACTCCTCTGGGGCTTGGAAAGGTCCCGAGTGGCTTCCAAACGAGGGGCAAAGGGCAGAACAAAGGGTTTCTCTCCCCTCCAAAGCCAGTGGGTTGTCTCTGAGGGGTTTGTATGTTCCTGTAAATAGCCCTGGAAGGTTTATTTCTTTAGGTTATCGCTGCCCCTTGCTGTGATGTCTCCAGTGCTGTCAGCCAGGCCCAGCTGTGGGTTTGCTGCTGTGTTAGATGAGGTTTTAGGAGCCTCTGAACCCAGATTTTTGATCCTCTCTGGAGAAAAGTGTGTACCGGTGGTTCCCTCGCCGTCCCTGGTGGGCAGCTGACCTCTTATTTGTTTTTCTTTCACCCGGTTTTGTGTGTTCCCATCTTGTCTTGCTGTGGATTCCTGGTGGTGCTGGGGTTGTCATGGAACTGAGAATGCTGGTCTGGCCTCTCCTTGGCATTCCAGGTCAGCATTTACACAACAGTTTTGAGCAGCAACAACACAACCCTTTCCCAGGTGCTTTGTGGGACTGCTGTGCCCTGAGGGAGGAAAATGAGTTTATAACTTCTCGGGTTGTTTGTTCATTTTTTAATGAAATCAGGGGACAAACTTCTTGAAAAGAAATTTTTTAGGCAGCACTTAGAGAGCCACAGGACAAGCATTTGCAGATTTTAATGCGGACCAAGTGACCAGACAGGAAAAGCCATATTCCAGGTGGGAATTCGGGAGAGCACAGCTGCACAGCCCCACAGCTGGGGGGATCCAGCCAGGATTGATCCCTGGGGCAGTCCTTGGCCTGCACCCCCAGGGTTTGGGTGCAGAACTGAACAGCTGGTACAGGAGGGGCAAAACCCCCCAAAAATGGCTGTTTTGCCGAAGCTGAAGCCGCGGTGATGGACCCAGGGGTGACTGAGCAGGGTCAGCAGGGCCCTCATTGGCAGCACAAGCAGAAATCCAAAGGGCTCCGTGGAAGGGCTGAGCCACCGTATGGGGCTCAGTGATGTTTAGGGAGCTTGTAATGCCAAATACAGAGAAATAGGATGTTCAAGGGGGGGTTTTACTTGGAAAAATATTATGTCTTGAGCAGAACTGGACTTTTTCCAGCTGAGCTGTGCCTGGGTGGGATGTCACGGGGGAGGACGTGGACGCTGAGCCCGGGGGATGCTGCAGCACCAGGAAATCATCCCTTTTTCTTTGCATTTTGCAGCAGGGGCAGGTTATTTTTTTTCCTCTCCTTTTTCTAATACTGAGGGCTGACCCTTGCAGTGTGTTCTCACCTCCAGTCTGTCCCACCCTCGGTGTGTCCTTCCAGCTCCCTGTTGTCTCCCTGTGCTCCAGCGGGACCGGAACCCCACCTTGAACCTTGTTGTTTATTAACCCGGGTTTTACAGACTGTTTTATATCCTTGGACATGAAATCCTGATTAAAGCACCTTGCAGGACCGGGCTGGAGTGCTCAGCAACCCCAGAGCCTGGGAAGCAGGGACTGGTGCTGGGAATGGCTGTGACATTGCTGAGCATTCCCAATCCCGCAGAAAAGTGGGAATTGAAGTTTCAATGGGGTAACAAAAAAATTAATTACACAAAGTGTCTCCAGTGGTAGAAGGCACCGGGGTGGGGGGAGGAAACTGGGAGCAAAACCAGGAGTTTGCCTCTTATGTTAACAACTATTCCACAGGTATCCATACTTAAAGGTAGGAAAAATGTGCTCCTGGGGGTAAAGCCCACGGCGGTGATTTGGGTCTGTTGCTGTTTGCAGAGTGTGTTTGAGTGACTGCTCCGGTGTAGGGGTGACAGTTCTGGTACCGAGCTGTTCACAACGAAGTAGAGACAGCCAATAAAGTATCAAACATCAGAGCGTGGGCTCCGTTTTCACTGTCACCCTCGGAAAGAAACAGGGCTAGAAACTGCCAGGGGGTGGTCTGGGTGGGAAGGGGCTGTGAGGGTCCTGCGGGTGGGACACCTCCCGTGGGCTGGGGCGGCCTCAGCTCGAGTGGGAACGGAGGAGCCTCCGAGTCCCTTCGAGCCCAAACCATTCCCATTTTGGACTCGGTGACGTCACTCACGGCGATGACATCACTCACAGTGATGACGTCACCGGCGCTCTCCCGTGCCGCAGCACCTCCCGCCCTCCCCGCCGAGTGGGCGGGGCGTGCCGCGAACCCTCCAATGGGAGGCGAGGGGAGGCGGGGCGTGCGGCGCAACTCCCGCCCCCATTGGCTGCGGCCACCCGTGTTTTGGAGGCGGCGGGGCCGGGGAGGGGCGGGGCCGCCGAGACAGGCGGCGCTCGCTGATTGGCCGAGGCGGGGCCGGGGGCGGGACCGCGGGCGGGCCCGGGAGGGCGAGCGCATGCGCAAGGTGTCATGTGGCGGGCGGCGCGCGCGGCGGAGTCGGGAGCGCGCACGGTAACGGCCCCGCCCACTGCCCGGCGGGTGAGGGGGGCGAGGGGACCGGGCGGGAGGGGGGGCTGGGGGTCCCTCCGGCTGAGGGGACCAGGGGAGCGCGAGTTCTCTCAGCAGGGAGAGCGAGGGCGTCCCGACCCTCCCCTGACCGGGCGGCGGGAGCAGCGTGGGGAGCGGGGAGCCCGGAGCCCGTCCTTCCCCTCGCAGGGGCTTGGGGGGGTCCCGACCCTCCCGTCATCGAGGTTTGGGGAGGGGTCTCGTCGTTCACCTCCCGGGGTTTGGGGCGGGGGGGGTTTCTTCCCTCCCCGGGGAGCCGGTGGGTCCCGCCCCGCCGCTCCGTTCCGGGCGGTATTAACGGCCCTTCCTCCCCGCCCCGGAGCCCGCGGCACCCCCAGGACTCGGCCTCGTGAGTTGGGTATAAAAGTCGGTGTAGCAAGTGGTTTTTAGGGTGTAAATGCCTGTTTTCGGGGTTTGGTTGCAGGGTGGGTTGGGCAGGCCCGCAGTTGCCTTGGTTAATTTGTGGCAGTGTCGTCCTCGCCCAGTGAGACCCTCATGTGTTCCTGGGCTGAGGGAATTACTGAATCTTGGAATGGGGTGGGTTGGAGGGGACTTTAAAGCCCACCCAGTTCCACCATCGTGGGCAGGGGCACCTTCCACTAGACCTGGCTGCTCCAAGATGGCCTTGGACACTTCCAGGGATGGAGCAGCCGCAGCTTCTCTGGGCAAACTGCAGAGAAATGGAATTTAACAATATAATTTTGGAGAATGCTGCGGGGTAACGCCACTGCAGTGATCCCAAAGCTAAAACAGTAATGACTTCAGTAGCGTGTTTGATTAAGTCCTGTATTTCTTTAGAAAGATAAGACAAAAGTGAACCAAGGCAAGTGACTCCTTTATTCCCTTTTTCTCCTCAGAGCACACTGGAACTGCCCCTTTTCAGCCATGACCGACCCAGAGCTTGTTCTCTGCAAGTGGAAGAGGCGTTTGTGGCCAGCCAAGGTAAGGAGGAGGTGTTTGTGGATATCACCTGGGAAGGGATGCAGTGGAGCAGAAAAGAAGTGAAAGCTCCCAGTGGACGTGTTTGTACTTGCCCAGGTTTACGCTGGGAAGTGTCCAAGGCCAGGTTGGATGGGGCTTGGGGCAACCTGGGATGGTGGGAGGTGTCCCTGCCTGTGGCAGGGGGTGGCACTGGGTGGGCTTGAGGGTCCCTTCCAACCCAAACCATTCCATGATTCCATGATCCCAAGGCTGCAGCCACACCTGCCATGGACTAGCAGGCTGTTCCTGTGGAAATGTTTTGATGTCAGATCCGTTGGACAAGGATTTTAAAGAAGTGTTTTTGATGTAGGTTTTGTGCAAACCTGGAGTCGCTGGGAGCGCTCGCGTGGGCACCGTGAAGAAGATGGGTTTCAAAGCTGAAATACTGGGCTTGGAGAAGCAGTTGAGTATCCTTGTTCCTGCCACGTGTTTGCATTCTTAGACGTGTTAAAAAAAGAGGGGAGAGAAAGGAATCCCTTCACCTGAAGATTCCTGTGAGGTGGGGTCATGGATTTACAGCAGGTTTAGGTGTTCAACCCTAACAAGGCCAGGTCTGGGGGGGACGAGTGTTTGGGGTTTGTTGGGGGGTGAGAGCAGAGTGGTTCTGTTGGGGGTGTTCTCTGTGCTGGTTCCAGTGAGCTCTGTTGTGTTTCAGGGTCAGTGTGAGCTCTGCAAACGCTGTTCCACTGACAGAGGAGCGGATCAAGGCCATTGCCTCCAGCCTGGGTGAGCAGGGGCCAGGACGTGCTGCTTTGCCTCTATTCCGAGTGGAAAACAGGCACAGAAACTCAGCCTGGGGGATAATAGCTCTGCTTTTCACTTATGTAGTTTTGAGGAGCTTTTTTTTCACATTTCTTTCCTCCTTTTCCGTCCATAAAAGTGGAAAACAGGTTAAATGTGGTCATTTTCCTCTTCCCTGTGGTAGTTTTTCGGTGGGAACGATGAAGAAATGTGTATTTCCCTCAAAATGAGGCACTGGAGGCTTGGTCTTTGTGTGTCTCAATCCTTTGCCTTTAAGAATCGTGGGTGATTTCAGTGTTAGAAATTGCCCCTTAAACGAAAGGAACTCTATGTGTAAATTCCATATTACCAAAGAAATTAATACATTTTACATCTCCAGTAACAGAAGCCGTTGCATTTATCGAATGTTCTTCTCCATCAGAGCAAAAGAACAACGTGGGGGAGGCCGTGGAGGAGCTGCAGTATCGCTGTTCCCTTAAAATCGCCCTGGATATCCTCAGCCAGACTGACCTGGGCAGGCCAGAGCCACCTGCAGAAGGGCCAGACCCTGGGGTGTCCGGGGACAACAGCGTGGGATCCCCCCCAGCCCCCTCCTCCCGCAGATTGTTGCGCCCTCGATCTACAAAATTGCAGCCCGAGGCGGCCAAGAGTGGGCGGAAACAGGAAAGAAAGTGTAACCCCA